AGGGGATCGGGTGTCACGTTTCGACACCAGGATAGTATATGAGGATCGGGTGCCACGTTCCGGTACCAGGATAGAATATGGATCGGGTGTCACGTTCCGACACCAGGATAGAATGAGGATCGGGTGCCACGTTCCGGTACCAGGATAGAATATGGATCGGGTGTCACGTTCCGACACCAGGATAGAATGAGGATCGGAGTGTCATGTTCCGACACCAGGATAGTATATGAGGAGCGGAGTGTCACGTACCGACACGAGAGGAATAAAGATAATGAATCTTGAAAGATGTTAATATACTCAATCTATTGAACCTAATTCCCAAATGAGTATGATGAGGAGGCGTGAGTCCTCATTGATGTGCTTGGTGTTGTAACCAAGGGTTATGGTAATTGTAAATGTTGCATGCTAAGGATATTAGTTGATTTTATGATGTTATCTGATATATACTATTTTCTATTTTGAGTTGGCCGATGATACCTACTCAGTACTTGTGTTTGTACTGACCCCCTACTTTTATGTTTTCTTCTTTGTTATTTGTGGAGTGCAGCAAATGTGCCATCGTCTTCAACTCAACCGCAACTCTAGCCAGTCTTCATTACTCCGGATATCAGGGTGAGCTAATGCTTCTAGCTTAGACTGGATCTTCTTCTTCATGTCTTGATGCCTTGAACTTCCGGCATGGACTAGCTTTTACTTATTTTAGCTTCTTAGAATACTCTTAGATTCAGTAATTTGAAGTAGATGTTCTTGTGATGATGACTTCCAGATTTTGTGGATAATAATAGTTGTTGAGTTTTTAGAAGTTATTGAATTGGGTTTTATTAATGAGTTTAAGTCTTCCGCATTACTTTCTGTTGATATTATATTGAAATGTTAAGGTTTAGATTGGTTGGTTCGCTCACATAGGAGGGTAAGTGTGGGTGCCAGTCGCGGCCCGATTTGGGTCGTGACACATACTTAATAATGTACAAAATGGTTAAATTGATCTTCAATTAATCATTAAACGACCTAGTTTATACTTAATAGTTTACAAAACGACTACATTGATATTCAACTATTACTAAACCACTTAGTTTATGCCTAATAATTTTACAAAATGGTTAGATCAATCTTCATTTATTATTTAACCACTTAGTTTATACTTAATAATTTACAAAACGAATAAATCGATCTTCAACTATTATTAAATGACTTAGTTTATTACTTAATAATTTACAAAATGACTAGATCGATCTTGAGCTATTATTAAACGATTTAGTTTATACATAATAGTTTACAAAATGACTAAACCTATCTTCAATTATTATTAGACGACTTAATTTATACTTAATAGTTTACAAAATGGCTAGATCAATCTTCAATTATTATTAAATGATTAGTTTATACCTAATAATTTACAAAATGGCTAGATCGATCTTCAACTATTATTAAACCACTTAGTCTATACTTACTAGTTTACAAAACAACTAAATCGATCTTCAGATATTATTAAACGACTTAGTTTATACTTAATAGTTTATAAAACGACTAAATTGATCTTCAACTATAATTAAATGACTTAGTTTATACTTAATAATTTACAAAATAACTAGATCGATCTTCAGTTATGATTAAACGACTTAGTTTATGCTTAATAATGTACAAAATTGCTAGATTGATCTTCAATTATTATTAAACGACTTGGTTTATACTTAATAGTTTACAAAACCACTAAATTGATCTTCAACTATTATTGAACCACTTACTTTATACCTAATAATTTACAAAGTGGCTAAATCGATCTTCAGTTATTATTAAACAACTTAGTTTATACTTAATAGTTTACAAAAAGGCTAAATCGATCTTCAACTATTATTAAATGTCTTACTTTAAACTTAATAATTTACGAAATGACTAGATCGATCTTCAGTTATAATTAAACGACTTAATTTATACTTAATAGTTTAAAAAACGATTAAATCGATCTTCAATTAATTATTAAACAACTTACTTTATACTTAATAGTTTACAAAACTACTAAATCAATCTTCAATTATTATTAAATGATTAGCTTATACCTAATAATTTACAATATGGCTAGATCGATCTTCCGATATTATTAACAACTTAGTTTATACTTAATAGTTTACAAAATGACTAAATCGATCTTCAACTATTATTAAATGACTTAGTTTATATTTAATAATTTACAAAATGACTAGATCGATCTTCAATTATTATTCAACGACTTATTTTACAGTTAATAGTTTACAAAATGACTAAATCGATATTCAATTATTATTAAACGACTTGCTTTATAGTTATTAATAGTTTACAAAACGACTTAATCGATCTTCAATTATTATTAAAAGACTTAGTTTATACCTAATAATTACAAAAATGGCTAGATCGATCTTCAATATTATTAGACAACTATACAAAGTAGTTAGACGACTCTCCAATATTGTTGGACAACTCTTCAATACGTTGGACAACTAATGCAGTTGTTGGAAGGACTTGACTCTTCAACTATTACAGTTGTCCAGCAACATTAGAAATTGTTAATATAAAAATTAGAAGCTTTTGATAAAAATTAAAGTTGTTAAGATACAAATATTAAGTTGTTTGATCTAATAATCGTATTATTAAGTACATGTTACAAATATGACAAAATGTACATTTTTATAATTCTTAAATTGACCAACAACAAAACATAATTGTCGAACAACTGCACTAGTTGTTGGGACAACTTCTACTATCGTCGGACAACTAAAGATAATTGTTGAACAACAACAAAGACATATCTAAATATTCAATAAACAACTTCGATAGTTGTCCAGACAATTACGAAAGTTGTTGATTGAAACAATCATTTTGGGTTCACTAAATGCAGCTTAAGAATTGACACAAAGTGATTTTCATACTTATCAATAGTACTCTTTTTAGTTTATTCAAAGCTTGAACAAAACAAATACAATGCAAAAAAAAATCAAACATATACATTTTGATATTCTTTTTACATAAATTTTTCTTGATAGATCTTCTATATAAAAGTATAATTTTGCAAATAAAGGAAGATAAAGTACATGAAGAAAAAGAAAGAAGGATTGACAATTATAGCTGCAGTTGAAGAGGATCGGTGGGAAGAGAATGGAGTTAAGAAAGAATGCCTTTTTTTTGTCTATTTGATAAAATTTTAAATATTTAAAGGTAAAGAAATAAAGAATATAGGGGCAAAGTTACAACTTAAAAAGTTTAGGACTATTTAAAAAATACTTTTTAATTTAATTAATATTATTTATTTATTTGTCACTTTTACTCAATATTTATAACTTGAAGGACTCTCACCTAATTACCTAACATCTTTGTCCCTTTTATTAGACCATCCCTTTCACACTACTCTTGCCAAACTAAACTCTCTAAATTACCCCAATAAATCAATTATGTTCATTCTACATACATCTGAAATAATATTAATTTTTTTTTAAGTAACAACATTTTGTATTGTCTTCCTTTTTAACAATTTTTTTTTTACTTTTCATTTGTTTTGATATCAAAGAATTATCAATGAAAATGTTTTGTTTTCGTTGAATCTGCAAAAAGTGGTTTCATTCGGAGACTTTTACTTCTAATAATGAAAATGAAACTTAGGTACTAGAGATCAAAATTAGTTGAATATTGATCACCTCAATTATTAATTTCTCCCAAAAAGTTATAGTTTTAACGATATCTTGACTTTGAAGGTGATGATTGTGTGAAACTAAACTTCAAACTTCATTTAGTTGGTAAAGGAGAAGGGCTGATCATGTCTTCTCGATACTCAAACCGTCTTAACAATGTTTTTTTTTAAACAACAAACACAAGTCTCAATTTTTGTTTATTTTTTGGGATGATTTTTTCAATCGGTAAATAATATAATAGATTTTTTTAATGCGAATAATATGAAATGCATATACTTTGTGAGAAATTACTTAATTTTTTGACAAATTTTAGTAAAGGGATGAAAGTGAAATTTCAAATACTTAGAGGATATTTTTTGTTAAAATGAATAATTTAAGGATGCAATTTCAATTGAGGGTATAATTTAAGGATATTTTTATTCAAAAATTGTGAAAATTTACTGGAAAATATTCAAAGATGTCGGAGCAATTGGTCAATTATGAAGTCAGCTCAGTGTAATTTGCTCTTCTTCTTCTTTTTTGTTAAGGACGGATATTTAGATAAATACGAAATTAAGTGTCTAGTACAGTACTGGTTTGGGCATTTCCCAAGGCTGACTGGTTGAATGTTGGGCCATAGTGTGGCCAATAGTGTCATTATTTATTACAAACAAAAATGCTCCTAAAAAAAGTTTGTGATCTCTATTACTTACAAAAATTCATAATAAAACTACAAGATCTTGTTGTTTATGAAGAATATAATTTTGATGTGCAAAATTTGAACTTCATTTCCTACTACAAGCCTAATTGACCTCAACTTCAGAACATGATTACCTGTTGACATTTTGAATACCAAAATCTGGGCCTATTCATTCCATTCTAACTACTCTCATATATTCTGTTTAATATCTAAATTATTGTAGTGTAATACGAGCAAATAGATAACAAGTAGCACCAGTGATATGGTACCCAGCCATGGTTCAATTCCCGGCTGGTGCATTCTTGGGTTAGCTGTGAAGGTGAATCTGTGCTCAATGCAGTGATTTTTGGGTCTCCTCACTCATCTGACTAAACATGGTGTTAGTTGCACATCTTATTAATTATAGTTTGTTGGGTCTCAACTTAAAAATAAAATAAGTGGAACATAATTACTTAGGTTTCTTGTGGTGTTGTTATCTATCACCAAAAGAAAATTAGATAAATCATGTTCAGCATTATATGGGGAACGTTGTTTGCATATAACCGTGCATTTAAGAATATGCAATCTTCGTGAATTAGAGCAAGTGAAGTATTGTTATCCAGAGTATATATCATATTTCAAAGGTGTCAAGAACCTTAAGAGGAAGGCGATGAACTGATCTTACGTCTCAAAAACTTCAAATATGATGTTTGGACATGTAGGTGGCAGCTTGAGATCAATTGTGTAATTCAGTGATCTACTAGTCTAGCAGCTATAGATATCTCAATAAAATAAATAAGGCATCTAAACTAAGAAATGTGCAAAGAGCTATCATTTACTAGGAACATACAAGTTTATAACTGCAAATTATAAGAGCAGAATCAAACCTTAAATTCATGAATTTGTTTCACAGTGCATATTAACCTCATGTCACCAACCATGAGAAGGACTAACCCTATGCCTGTCATCATCTGTCAATGCAGGTTGAAGCTTATAACTTTTTCTTCCGGTATGCTTGCTCCAAAAACAACTTCCTTAATGAATTGAGTTCTCTAACGACATCACTGATCCGCTTTCTTTCTTTTGGAGATTCAGCGGAGCAGGAAACTCCGATTTGAATCACGTTGATTAAGAATGACAGAAATATGTCGCCAGCACTGCTTGTGTTGTCATGAAGTTTGTATTCCATTTCAAGTTCATCTCGTTCCTGTAGAAGAATTGGATCTGTAATATGCATCACTCTGTCTGGCAAAGCAGCATTCGCGTAGTTATGAAGGTTTAAATTATCTTTGAACATTTCATCAGTTGGTTTCCTCCCGGTAAACATTTCCAAGAGCAGTATGCCAAAGCTGTATCCATCTCCATAGGTTGAGGCGTCGCTTCCCATACCTAATTCTGTCAGCATGAAAAACTACAGAATTAGAGATAATCTTATCAAAAGACATATGTATGACAGCAAAAACCTTGATTTATTATTACCTGGAGGTGTATAACCAATTGTCCCCCCTACACCTGTAAGACTTTTTGAATTTTCTGATGAGTTCGGAATTTCTGGTGGAACAAATCTTGCCAAACCAAAATCACCAACATGTGCAGTCATGTTCTCATCTAGAAGAATATTGCTTGGCTTCAGATCGCGGTGAATTATAGGGGGTTGGCAATCATTATGGAGATAATCCAGAGCACAGGCAACATCAATCGCAATGTTTAATCTTTGAATAAACCCTAGCTTCTTGTGTTCCTCCTGTGGCTCAGAGTTCTCCTGAGGAGTGAAATGCAACCAGTCCTGTAGATTCCCCTTATCCATGTATTCATAAACTATGGCTTTGAACTCATTACCTTCATAATCAATACCTGAGCATGCACTTAGAACCTTTACAAGATTACGATGTCTGATGTTCTTTAGAACCTCACATTCAGCTAAAAAACTCCTGGAAGCTGCATGGTGTGAAAGGTCCAGTACCTTAACAGCAAAAACAGTACCATCATGTTCAGAAATTCCTTTATATACAGACCCAAAAGCACCCATGCCAAGCAAATTTGATGCAGAAAATCTATCAGTTTCCCTAAGTAGACACTGATAAGATATTCTTAAGGTTGAGTTTTCAGGTATATCTGTAGGTGTTGTTTTTCTCAATCTACTAAACTGTCGTATGCCAAGAAAACAAACTATCAATGTCAATCCTATAAGCCCACTAACTACAGGAATTACTTTTTTCAAGGGAAAACCTGATTTCCTTTCTTTCTTTACTCCTACAATGCAAACCGGAAGGTCCAACTCCGGTACACCCCCACAGAGATTTTTATTTCCTATGATGGAAACCGCAGTAGCATTACTAAAGATACCTCCAGTTGGGACAGCACCTTCCAAATTATTGCTAGACAGATTTAAAATCTGAAGAAATTTGAAGTCCTTCAAGAATCCCGGGATTCCACCTGACAGATTGTTGTGAGAAAGGACTAAAAATTCCAGGCCTCGCAAATTATTCATGGTTGAAGGAATACTACCCTGAAAGTTGTTGTTGTTTAAGTCTAGTGCTTCAAGTTTCACACAAGTACCTATAGTGGTAGGAATCTGGCCCTGCAACTTGTTATAAGACAGGTTTAAGTAGCCTAGATTTCTCAACTTCCCAATTCCCATCGGAAGGAAACCAGTTAAGTGGTTCTGAGATAGGTCCACGCCCTCCGACAATGATGAGAGTTCAAGAATTTCTGATGGTATGAAACCACTAAGGTTATTTGAACCAAGATCCAACAGTTCCAACTTGTCGCATTTGCCTAAACTGGAAGGAATTCTCCCCTGGAGATTGTTTTCTCTTAAAGTGAGTTTGGTTAAAGAAGCTAAATTTCCCAATGAGATTGGAATTTGGCCAGAGAACTGATTTCCAAGTAAAGCCAGCTCTTGCAAATACATAAGATCACCAATTTCAGAAGGAATTTCACCGATAAATCTGTTGTAAGCTACAAAGAAAGCCTGAAGCTTCTTGAGATTGGATATCCCTCTTGGGATTTCTCCAGAAACTTGATTATAAGACAACGAAAGCTCTATAAGCTCAGTCGAAAGATTACTAACAGATGCAGGTAAGACTCCACCAAAATTATTTGTATTGAGCTCCACAAGCTCCAAGTTGGTGGCATTCACCAATGTGGAGAGAAAACTAAGGTCATCCGCCTCCTCCTTGCCAAGATCATTGAAAGCAACTAAAAATCTCCTCATTTTCAGCAAATTTCCAAGGGGTGGTACTTTTCCTGTGAGTCCATTTCTACCAGCAATAAGAGACTGAAGATTTGTAGCATTTGACAATGTCCCCGGAATATTTCCAGTTACATTGTTTCTATAAATGCTAAGGAACTCTAACTTAGGAAGAGTAATACCAAGCAATGGAGGCAATTGTCCTTCTAAATGGTTTGTTCCAACATCGATGGCCACGATAGAGGAAAGATTGAAAAGACAAGGAGGCAGGGTACTACTCAAGTTGTTTTCATTCACTACAAAGTACTTTAAGTTGAGTAATTGACATAATTCATCAGGTATTTTCCCTAACAAATTATTCTTGCTTGCAGAAAAGGTATCAAGTAAAGAAAGATTACCAAACGAAGGCGGAATTCCTCCTGTCAAAGAGTTAGAAACAAGAGAAAGTTGTTTGAGTCTCAACAATGTGCCTAATTCTGCTGGAATTTCGCCTACCATCATATTATACGAAAGACCAACAGAAACAAGATTGAAGCAACCAGAAATGTTTGAAGGAATATGACCAGTGAACGAGTTATTATCAAGGCGTAAAACGTTTAACTTATGTAAGTAGCCAATCTCTGATGGGATTTCACCTGAAAAACTATTATTTTGAAGCTTAAGGACATTAAGAAAGCTCAGGTTACCAATGCTTGGTGACAGAGAACCCCTCAATTTCAGAGAAGTAAGATTTAAAACTGTAACTCGGCAATGACGGTTACCACATGAGACCCCAGGCCAGTCACAGAAATGTATAGTTTCATTCCAGGAGTCCATGATCTTGAAAGGGTCATCAATGATCATATTCTTGAATGCTAGCAGTGACATTTTGTCTGTTTCATTCCCTTTCACCTGAATTTTTGATGAGCAAAGAACATAAGGTAGTATCAAAGAGAAAAAGGTCAGTAAAGATAGTACAACAGTATACTTCTTCTTCATAGCATAAAAGTGAGAATTCTTTGGGAGAATCATTTAAGAAAGTAAGAAGACAAATGTAAAGTTGGTAGCAAAAGACACTGGTCTAATACTATTAAATTTATTCTCCAATTTTAGTTTGTTTGTATGATTTTTCATGACATTGACAAGTTGAGTATTTTAAGGCACACTAGAAAATATAGAAAGGGACATAAAAGATTCTCCTAGTACTACTTAAAGGTAGACTAGAAAATATAGAAAACTACAATAAAAATTGGACATATATTAATGGATTTTAAAGTCTGCAGAGTGTCCTGATAAATTACTTATTGCATTGTTCCATTCTTTGACGCTAAAGTGAAAAATGTAAATAATTTTGAAAAGTGATTTTTATTTTTATTTTCTGAGTCACATTAGTTGTGTAAGTTGTTTTCTACTTTGTTAGGTAAGATGTGTAACATTAGTCCTAATGTTAGTAGAAAATCTTGTATGTTGGAGCAATTGGTCAATTATGAAGGCAGCTCAGTGTGCTTTGTTCTTCTACATGACTTAAAAGAGTGCGCATAATTTGTGGTCATTCAACTTCTCTAGTGCTTAAAATTGAATTGTCCTCTTCAGGTAAACTTCCTGGAAATTAGGTTTCCAGATTTTATTTTATTTTTTTTGCAGAAGGATTAGGTTAAATTTAAAGTTTGGTAACAAAAACAAATTAGGAAAAAGTATTGGGAATTCAATGGAGATGTCGTGTAATCATTAAAGCTCATTTTTTCCCATAATTAAGTACATGCTTTTTTCTCAAAATGAATTTTATGATTTTAAATTTTGGTCAAACTATTTCTATTTAAATAAAAATTTATGCCAAAGTCGGGCAAAATAAAAACGAAGGTGAGATTCATCAATTAGCATATCAGCTGTTTGACCCAAAAACAAAAAAATAAAGTTCTTGTTTCGAATAGTTCAAAAGACAAAATTAATTTTTTTTTACTTCGGAGCACCAGTTAGTGACAAAGTATTTTTGAACTTGTTTGCTAGTTGGAGAGCATATTTGATCCCAAAACATAACAACGAGCGTATTTTTAAGACAAAATAAAGGACAGAATATAAGTGACTCATTTTGAATAGTTTTAAAGGTATATTTGATCTTTCTTTTTTTTTGAAGAACTTATGTCCTCGTTAGACATAAACATATAAAGGGTATACCATGTAATTAAATTGGACTATCATTACAATTTAAGAAATGTAATCATAAAAATTCGTAATTGAGAGATTTCTTATCACTCCGTTCTTCTTATGGTGTTTTTGTCTTTGTAGGCCTAATTATTAGCCGAATACAAACGACGACTTTGGCAAATTATAAAATCAAATGGTAGACAAAGTCTTCAAATGTGAACTCTTTGACCACTTTCCCTTCTCTAGTACAACTTTGAAATTTCGAGATACTCTAAATTAAATGTTTTTTTCTTTTTCAAGTATATTTTGTTATTAATATATGAGAAAAATTAGTAACAATAATAAAAAGCATAAAACGATTGAATTTTCCATAACATGAGTGGCTCAGTTGTTCTATGGAACTACACTAGTTGATGGCTCATCAAAACACTATCTGATATGCTAATGGTATAATTCATCTCAAATGTATCTGGCTCTTCAAAGTCATTTGCAACAATAGTCCACAAATCTTCAGCTTTCAAATGTGTTCTCATTCTTATCTTCCAGTATTCAAAATCAGTTTCATAAAAAAATGGAGTAAGAACAACTGAAAAATCAGCACCTTCATTTATTTTGAATGCATATTTTTTTTCTTCACCTAACCCCAGATTAAGAACGAAAACCTGCTCTTGATACCAATTTGTAGGAAATATGGAAGGAAAATAATATCTTTAGAGAAAGCTCAAGTTTATTATAGGCTACTTAAGTCCAATTGAGATGATCACAATCATCAACTACATCACTATTTATACTACTCAAAACAGAAAACAAAAAGTCTTGCACAAATAACTAAATACATGTATCACAATTTACTAGATACATGTACTATGAAATTCTAAAAAGACTTCTTGAAAAACTAAGAAACAATTTTGGAAGACTAAACATTGATGCATTAATTCCAACAATTCATCTCAAATGTATCTGAGCTTTAGACATCACAGTTTAGATTACAAATTAATAACTTTATACTTGAGATCTATTATCTACCCTCGACCTTCTATGTTCAGCATCAAGGGACACAGATTACCCAAGAGACTCTGTCCAAGAGCAATGTTTTAAAGTTGAGAAGATCCAAAAAGGATAAGAGAACAAGAAGGCCAACAAGACAGATCATCTAAGACTTAAAGCCATAAAAGAACAACACAAATATTGCTACTCTAATCAGTTTTTGAAAATATACTTATGTCTTCAGTCTATGGTAGCACACTATTCTATTAGCATAGGAAGTTGAAAAGAATGTATATACCATAGCCACCTGAAGAAGATGGTCTTCGAAGACTAGAACTTTGAAGTGTTTGATCCAGCAGAAGAAGCTAGCTGTCTAGATGCTAAGTTGCTTCTTGAGGTGGCCTCTTGGAGAGAATTTGTTAACTGCATCAAAGGTTGCAAATTACAGATAAAAATCCATGGTTCCCAAGAAAAATCTATTTTCAGAACATGGTTTGAAAGAAATGCAATGCTATTATGAAAATATTGAAAAAAGAAAAATATTGACAATAAAATTATTAGAGATAACAAAAGTAAAAGAAACAACAATAGAAACAAAATGAAGAACAAGGTATGCTACCAAAATAACACTCCCTTTGTCCCAATTTATGTGACACACTTGACTTTTTAGTGCTTCCTCAAAAAAAATGTCACTTTTGTATTATTAGAAATAACAACTTTAAAATTTCCCTTTTACCCCTAACAAATTGATTTACCATCAAATAAATATCTAAGGATTGTTTTAAACCACAAGTTTCTAAAGTCTTCCTTTTCTTTTTCTTAAACTCTGTGTCAAATTGGGAAGGTTGGATAATAGTGGTAAGGAAACCAATAGATACTCCAGACCGGAACACTGCTCAACCACGAGGAAGAGAGAAAATGCTCAACCACCTACTACCAGTCTACCCTGATCCTCCATGATCCCTATTTGAAGTCATGTCCTTATTAGTTGAAGATGTTTCATCTATTGTATAATCACATCCCCCAATTCTTCCTCGATCTACCTCTACCTTTCCTCAAACCTATCACTGCCAACCTCTTGCACCTCTTCACTAGGGCATTTGTGTTCCTCCTCTTCGAATGCTCGAACCATCTTCGCCTTGTTTCCCGCTTCTTGTCCACCAATGAAGCTACTCCCACCTTACCTCATATATCTTCCTTTCTAATCTTGTCTCTTCTAATGTGCCCACACATCCATTTAAGCATTCTCATTTATGTTAAACTTCATCTTCTGAGGATGCGAGTGAAGAACACTTCAACCAATACAACATAGTTGGTTTAACAACCGCTCAATGAAACTTATTTTTCTTATTCATTCTTTTACTTAGTTCAATGTAAAATATGGGTTTCAAATAAAAGAAAGTTACAAGTTGGCGTTTTTCGTCATATGAACTTCTAAATTGTGACATATTGGTTAATCTTACAAAGCTGTCTATTGGTGTTTTTCCTCATTATTTCCTTCTATTATTGTCCAAGAACAACAAAGTTACAATCAAGTTATAAATGACTGCATAAAACCAAGAAAGACACCTAATATGCATAATAATAGAAGATTCTCTTCAAGATTAAACAATTCCATCAAATTGGATAACGATTAAATGTGTGATAACCTTTAGTAATACTAGGAATATCAATAAATCTAATTATTACAATTACTCAGGAGAATCTTTAAGAAAAAACCAACTCATATTGATCACAGACCCCATCATAAGAGCATGTGCTAGCTAATACATACTTACTATGATAAAGAAATCATAGCCCAAAAATATTCGTAGGAGTTTCAGTTTTCCAAATGGTTGATATCTAATAAGATATTGGGCACTCATAATACCCACAAGAAGCATCACAAAAGAAATGTATGGCATACTTCTTCTTTTTGATAACTTTATGCATCTACAGTCAAACCATTAGGACCAACTGCAACATTCGAAGTTCGGGAATAATGGGCTCAGCCCCCTACTACTCTCCAATTAAATGTGAAGCTTAGTTCACATGGTGTAGAGCTCGAACCTAGACCTAGGTCACATGTTCCTCGGCCTTTGTCACCTGAACTAAGCATGGGAACAGTTGTACATCATACCTCTACATTCAAAAACTAAAATAATCCTCAAATTCAGCAGAGGGCTTCTGCGAGTAGCATTTGACTAAACAATGGAACCATCATTATGCACGCAGTCTGAACTAAAGAACCTGTCAGGGTCTTTCTGTTTAATTAAAGAAATATCCTTTTAGTTCCTTGAAATCTCCACATCCCTCTGGTGGCTGGATATGGGATGAAATACTTTCAGATTGCACAGATGGTCAACATTTCCCATGTTAAACATAAGAAAAGTGAAAATATGCTAATTTCCAATTACACATAATGCATTTCAGCGAAAGAAAAAAAAAGTGTGTTCTTACTCTAGATGTCAATGCAGTGGGGTGAGCTTTAGAAGTTCCCAGCTGACTCATCATAGTTTTGCGTGATTCCATCTCTAGAGAAGGAAAAAGAGGGGTGTCTGGAGGTTCTAGAAGCCTGAAACAGGAAAGTAACATATCATAATAAAGCATACAGAACTGAAGATCGAATTTTAAAAGAATGTCTGGGAAATCTGAATCAACAAATAATTCAACATCAGAGGTGCAAAGAAGCCCTTTTTGTTATGGTTTTCAACTTTACAGAAAGGGGGTGCACCACCCTACTCCCTTTATTTCTTTGAGTGCTAGATTTTGATATATAGGAGCCATGAATTTTTGTACTTAAATTGCGCAAAAAACTAATACATCTACAAACTATACGTGCTTTTCTCACTGTTCATGATATTTAAATAAAAACTTGCTTTTAACATCCTTATATTTTATCACTTAAAATTTGCATCCTCAACCCTGTTAGCTATCCTCCCTTGTAACATCAAAAAATTGAATTCAGCTAGCATGTATTAAGAATACTACCTGGAGAAGTATGACATCAAAGTTTAAGATGCACATATAAATTGTAACTGGAGAGTAAAATAGAGAATGAACACTCCAACCCACCTCTAAATCACCCTCTATTCTCCATTTATAGAAAGGTGAATAGTAGTTCTCCAAAATTTGGAGAACTACTATTCACACTCTCTATTTCACTTTTTCATTATTATATTATTTTTTCTATTACCTTTTAATTAAAATATTACTTTATATGTAATTCCATTAATTAAAATATCTAATATTGATAATTCTTTTTTAAATGTAATATAATATTTAAAAAAAGATTTTTAAAATATACTACTTTAATATCAAATTAATAGTATTTTAAATATTTTTTTCTAATTTTCACCAATAATAAATATTTTATTCTTAATTTTCATTTTAAAGAATACAAAAAATTAAAATGGCAAGAGAAAAAATTTAATTAAAAAAAACACATGATATGATAATTTAAATACAAGACAAAAATATAATATATAACGTAGTAATTTAAATACAAGACAACAATACAACACATAACATAATAATTTAAAGACAAGATAAAATGCAATACATAACATAATAATTAATTGATCACAATAATAATTTAGTAATCCGATAGGTCGTTTCCACATAGCACTATTCGGAAAAAATTAGCATATGATTCCGAAAATTGTTGCAATTGTGGTTGTGATTGCGGTTGTGATTGTTGATTTCTTTATTCAAGTATTCGTTATTGTTCTCATTGCATGTAATCACGAACATTTGGGTCACTAATAGCTTCTCAATGCATCAATTCAAGATGTCGTAGAGGCTCAAACTCCAACTATAGAAGTGGTGGTAGATAAAAATCTCCAATTTGAATAATTTTTAGCTAGACATAAAAAATTAAGGACAAAAATGTTCATTTTTATCTCCGTAATGCATTATAGAGCATTAATGGGAGCAACATAATGATTTTGAAATTTGAGTGTTTATGTAATTGTATGTCACTTTTATTTGACTTTGCCCCTTAATTTATGTATTAATATTTTCTTGCAATTTATGTTATTTAAAAATTTAAGATAAAATATAATTTTATATCACATTAAACATTATATAAGATAACTATTTCGAAAAAAAGAAATAAAGGATTTATATTATGAAATAAGAAAATAAGAACGAAATAGAAATAATAATATAATATTGAGGAGAGAGAAAAAAAATTCTTTTTAGAGAGTAAAATAGAAAATTGGGTTGGAGTTGATTGTTAGAAAAAATTGATAACTCTCTATTTGAAGAGTAAAATAGAGGATTGTGTTTGAGATGTCCTTGGAGACCTGTATCGGTCTACTAGACAAAAGTAGGGCACTATCTCATAATTTTCTGCCTATCCTCAGGGTGCATAACAAGAATATTAAAAGGATTTCATTAAGTCTCTTGTGATAAATGAAACGTATGACCTACCAAATCTTCAAGCCACTAGTATTCGACGAAGTCCTCAATTGAGAGGAGGAACTTCCAGCTAGATTTTTAGCATGGTGTTTTAAGTTTCATGGCAGTATATATTAATTTAGATGTTCAATATTTGTTATCTTTAACAAAGTTGAATGACTTGAATCTATCGTTTGTTACATTAGAACCAACAGAATCAATGAAAATGTCATATATGATGAGTAAATTCTAAATGTTTAATTAGTTAGTATATAAATCCTATATAAAAAAAGACTCACTAAAATTTAATTCAATTTTTTTTTTTAGAATTATGATTTTCATTAATTAAAAAAATTGATGACTTGGTCGAATTATAATTGGTCATGTGTCAAAAATGGTTTTGCAAAACCATTGTTAAAAAATAATGGCATGAATGAGTCTTTTCTTTAACGACAATGGCATAAATGAGCCAAACTTTTAACTGATGACATAAATAAGTCTTTTCTGAAAGTTCAATGGCATATTTGAGTATTTTTCCTAAAAGAATTAGATTACATATTTCTTATCATGCTTGTTTGTGTCCCGTAGCTTTCAATTTTATGTTTTCTGTCACTGGGATTCCCAAAAGTTTATCTCAGTGAACTTGTACAAGTAAGATAATTCAGGCAAACTTGTGCATCAATATTAGAGTTGATTTCCTAATGGTCACTCAACTAATAATTATTATGTTATCACTCAAAATCATCCAATAGTTATAACATTAGTTATTTCCTTTTAGTAGTAGTTATTTTCTTGTTTTACTGCAGTTTTTCATTCCAGTAATAGTGAATTATGCGGACAACTTTAAGGGTCTGCTTATGACTTTAGTCAATTTATAAACTACATGGTGAAAAAGATTAAATTGGATAAAGAAACTTATGATGTCAAAAATCAACATAAGCAGCTAAAAGAAACAATTAAACAACTCAAAAAATCACATACTTGGAAAGGAGAAGAAGAAACAAATTACCAATCGTAATCCGCTGTATCATTGTCGGCATTAAGGAACTTATCCGTACGAGTCTTCTGCAGGGGTGCAGCTGATGCAATATTAATTGCAGGTGAACTACCACTTTTTGATCGTGCAATAAGATAGGATTGAAAAAAAATTACATACATGAACTTTAGGTTATGAAGCTGAAATCACTAATTTCTCACTAGTTGGACACATTTATATGATGTCCATAAAGACTCAAAATATTTTTGGAACTTAAAGTTGAAATGCACCTACAAAAAAAACAACTTCAACTTCAAATTTATTCTTTATGCCGTCAATTTGAACAAAGAAAGGTCAATAAATGGAAGAAGAACAAAAAAAAACTTACCAAGGGGATCAAATTCATTGAATTTTTGAAGAAATCGATTACAATTTCTGTCATTTCCCCTTCTTCGCATTTCTAGAAACAATGATAGTTCCTCATCTGAACTACTAATACTCCCCATTAGAGGATGTCTCTTACTCCCTTTGTTTCATTTTTTCTGATCGAACTCTTTTAAACGCTTTAAAACAAGAAGAAAATAATTCTTAATGAAATATATATAAATAAATTTGTATTAAGATTATACGAGAGTATATGGATATATTAGCATAATAATGAAAGTTGTCTAGTTTCTGAAACTTTTAAAATGGTAATATATAAAATTGAAAAAGAATGGAGTAACAAGTGCTTTATTTTTAAAGTTATACATGTGCTTCATCCAAGAAGTCGACTATAGCCTGTCTTGTATCATCATTTCCTAAAAGGCCAACACGTTCTTGGCCCAGTATGGAGAGACAATTCCCTTTAAGCTATGCTTCACATATTGACGACTTCACTTGTCATGGTTGAAATCAAAGTGATGTACATATAAAAAGTATTTAGAAGTGAGAACATGTATGTGCTAAAAGTTTAATAA